GCTTTCCATTACTGTTAGTTTTTACAGTGTCGTCATTACGTGTAATTTATGTTTAAAAAATTCAATTTTATACAAGGCACTGGGAAATAGGGGTCTACAGGTCATCCAACGACTTTTAGAGGCTCTGAGAGTCCTTATTGTGCTCCTCTGTTCCAACAAAATGTTAATAAAATAAAATAAAAATACTTTTTCCCTTTCCCCTCCCCTAACCTTTTCTGAGAGAGTTGATTTTTCTTTTAATGTGGGGAGTCTTTTTAGCCAGCTGTCTTCTCTGCCTCATCTCCGCCCAGAGTGTGCACGGGTAGGTAACTAGTTGTTCTGAGAGAGGTCACCCCTGCTCGGTCTCCGTGAATCACCTGAGTCCTGTGAACAGAGGGACTGTGATGGGGAGGACGCTGGCCAGAGTGGCCAGCCCGGAACTGCCGCCCTTTGCCACTGGCCCTCTGGCCCCGTTCCCTAATAAACCTGGGGCTGGCCTGGAAGGTGCTGTCAGGCGTTCATTATCTTGCTTATGTCCCGGCTCTGCCTGACCCTGCTGTCCTGCTTGTTGTCTGACCTGAGAGATGCAGAGAACACTGCTGTCTGCTGTCTGCTGTCTTTCTGCTTCACCTGCTCAGGGCCAGGCCCCGTGGCAGTGCCGTGCGGTCGCGGAGAAGCCCACGCACAGCCCGTCCCACAGAAAAAAGCCAGCCCTCCTCCAGGTCCGTTTGTCTGAGTCCTGGGAAAGGACCCTGCCTCCTGCAGCTCAGAGTCCACCGGTTGGTTTGGGTTTGTTTGCATTTTGACAAAACGTTTAGAAAAAGAAAGCACATTTGTTTATCTTCTAAGGGATAAAAATAAGCAGGTGTGGCAGCCCCGAGGCCGCTCACTTCAGTGGTCGATAGAATGTAGCTCACTTGCTTGTTCTTTTAAAGGGATCCCACCCTGAAGAAAGTGCTGGAAAAGAAGTCCTCGGCCGGCTTCTGCATCAAGGGAGGCTCCCCATAAAGGGAGCTGGTTCTGGAAGTAATTCCCAGAGAACCGGGGGGGTCAGGGCTGGGACTTCACGTGCGCAGTGGGGTCTGAACTGAGAGTGCGGCTTTGCAGGTCAGACAGCTGTGGCCTTACAGGCAAAATGACAGCCTCTCCGAGCCAGGCGCCCTGCTCCTCCTGCCCACCTGGGACAAGTCCCCCGTCCCTTCCTCCTCCTCTGCCTGAAGCCAGTGAGTGGATGGGATCCCTGGGCAGGACTTCCTTAGTTGGCTCCCTGTCAGATAGATTTTCATTGTCAGTGTCACAGATGGGGGAGGGCTACTGGCTCTTGGAGGCGGCAGGCGGCAGAGGTGAGGTTACTGAAGGAGCCTCTACACGCACAGGGCTAGTGATATCAGGTAACACAGTTGACACCCCAACTGAAAAATTTTAGGTTTTAGTAAAATTGGCTAATTCTCCCAAAGGTAGCAGCTAAAGGAAGACTTGGGGCAGACGGGAGGGGAAGAGGTTTGCCTGCCATAGACTGACACCCTTAGCTCCATCTCTGCTCAGCTCAGCCCTTGCTCGGTCCCTGGGTTGTTAGATTATTTCTTGCAGATAGCAATCAACTGGAAGGAAGTGTGTGTGTCTAATTTGCATGAGATTATTTAAAACAAAAAAAAAAAGGTCTGCATTAGTCAGGGTGATGGTAAACAACGCAAAGAGATGCCTTTTATAATGTAGCCAGGGCCTCAGCTTTCAGAGCCAAATATAATTCACTTACAATTGGCAGTTTCCTTTATTATTCCTTTTAACCTTTTGGATTCTGCAAGGTCTCACTCTGAGCTCTTCGGTGTTTCTCAGCGGGAGTGGGTGGCGCCTAGATGTGTCGTGTGGGTTCTGTGGCAGCACCTCATCCCTAAGGGTAAGGCCATTCAGCACCAGGAGGCCAGGACTGGGGAGATAACGGTGTGTTCAGAGAGATGACCCCTCCGCCCCTCCGCTCAGGCTCCAAAAGTCCCAGCCGATTCACCCGAGAGGTCCACCTGTCGAGCCCTGCCCTGGTCACCCTCCCTAAGCTGGGACACACCGGAGGAAAAGGCACTGAAGGGTGGGCCGCAGCCTGCGGGAGGCTTCGGTTTTATTCGGGGTTAGAATACTAGGATGAGATTAGGTCACCTACCCTTGTCACTCCGGGGGTGTTCAAAAAGTTGCCCAGGTGTCATTGCAGGAAGGACCCAGGTGATAAGCCGTGAAACAGCATCCATGGGCTCCTCCCTGTGGATGGGGTGTCACATGGGATGGGGGGAAAGAGGTTTAGTCCTTGTCTAAACCTCCTCCCTAAGATTGAAGACTTGAGACTTAATTGTGCAATTGTGATGTGACTGCGCTGTAGTGGGGAGCCCCTGGGCTGGAGGTGGGAAGCCCCACCGTCACCCGGCAGTTCCATGCCCTTAACTCGTATGCTTTGAGGCATATTTTTCACCCTCCTTGGGCCTCCGTTTTTTTAATCAGTTAAATGAAGGCAATGACTGGGATAATGGTTCAGCTCTGAAATGATATTGTTCAGTGAGATCATTAAAATGCTTATTTTTTTTAAAAAAAAGAAAAATGATTCACTTTATGTAACTAAATCAAAATCCTGACTCTCGGAGGACTAGGGATATCAGACTTCCAGCCAATGTAAATTTAGGGCATCAAATGATAAGGTCTCTGAAAAACAAGAGCTTGGGAGGATGTGCTGATGCCCTTTTAACCGCGGCCTCACTCCTGGGCTCGGCTGCAATAATGCAAGGAACATGTTTTATTAGGAAAATAGGCTTCGGCACAGCTCAGAGCCAGAGGGCAGAACAACGGGCAGGGAGTCCTGTCCCTTTAACCAGCTCCGGCTCTCAGGGCCTCAGCCCAGCCTGCAACTCACTGTATATTTCCCCAGCGTTAGACATTATCGTACTTGTTTATATTTGAAAGAGCCAAAAGGGAAAATGAGAATGCAACTGAATGCTCCTTTTGGGAAAATTATCCTTATTTGCAGCCAGCGGCTGACAAGGCACACGCACCACCAGGTTTGTAGAGTCCGTGGCGCACCAGTGACCGGCAGCCTGTGCTGACGGCGCACGGCCGCTTTCTTCCCCGGTGGCTGTGCGGACTGGTTAAAGCAGCATCTTCTCTGCGAGAACCCTGACGGGGGTTCCCTTCCTGTCTGGGAGGGAACATGTTCTCAGTTTTTCCTCGGCTTGTCTGTCTCTCCTGCCCCTGTGCTGGGGAGGTGAGATGACGATCAAGCAGCCCTTTGCAGTCAGCTGGGGGTGGGGAGTAGGGACGTGCCCCATTTCGCCCCATATACTCGGATCTAGCCTTTGCATTGTGAAGGAGCTCAGTGGGGAGGGGAGTGACGATCAAGCAGCCCCTTTGCAGTCAGCTGGGGGTGGGGAGTAGGGACGTGCCCCATTTCGCCCCATATACTCGGATCTAGCCTTTGCATTGTGAAGGAGCTCAGTGCCGGTAGATGACCCTCCTTGCCCCCTGGCAGCCTTTCCATCTGCTCATCAGTGTGCTGAGATACTTCACAGAGCTGTGGCCTGGCCTGTGTGTGCGGGGAAGGGGGAGAGCCGCAGTGTTCAATGGGGCCACATCTCAGCTGCCCAGCACAGGGAGGCGAAGGAAGGGGCCGGGGCCGGTTGGAACAGTTCAGGCATCCTCCCCAGAAAAGTTTGTGGGGCGGCTGCAGCCCACTCACGCCGTGCTGTGGAGCATTAATGTGCTTCATCTAGTAGCCCCTTGGCACGGAGCGTGCGGCACAGGCTTTGGAAGATGCTGATCCTCAGAACCTCCTGTACTTACGTCATCCACCCCCAGGGGCAGATAGACCACGCTGTGGCCTCTAATGGAGGCTGCTGACCAGATGTGGAAAAGCTCCAGGCTCGTTTAAAAGCTCCGTGTTGCGGCCGGCCTGGATATTGGGATTCCCGGAACAGCACGGCCAGCCGGAGCGGTCTTTCGTGGCGTGGCCTAGCCGCGACCTCCCACCTGCCTTTTCCTCTCTTAGTGGCGAGAGCGATCGTACGCGCAGGTTATTTCCGAGCTGCCCCTCGGGAGAGGTTTCTCCCACCCGTGTGCGCACTTGTTCCTCGCTTTGGGCTGGTTGGTGTTCTCCCTCCTCCCGCAGAGCCAGCGCCCCAGGCTGCCTCGGAAAAGCTTCCGGCCGTGTGCCCCCTGGAAATGGGGTCCGCCTGGGTCTTCCACTTGCCTTTTATTCCTCCCTGGGTTCCTCCGTGGGCAAATCCTCTCCACGTGTTGTAGCCACTGCAGATGGCGCCCTGCTTTTTCCTCAGGTCCCGTGCACAGCGTGGTGTAGAGTGTCAGGAAGACTAAAAAAAAAAGGGAAAATGAAAAACTAGCCAAAGGCGATATAGGCAGCCTGTGATAGGCTAGAGTAATAATCATCTCAAAGTTTGGGCCTGGCCTTGTTTTGATCTGTTTTCTTGTTTTATTTTCTTCTTTACATTCTATATCCCATTCATACTAATCACAGTCAGTCCTGATTTTTCTTTTTATTTCTGCATTTGTCATAAAATAAAGCAAATTATTCCCGTCTTCGGAAACGATCTAGACTAATTAGTCGTCTCACCCAATAATTAGTTTTTTGTTTCCCTGTCTGTTTTCATGCATTATTGTTAGTTTTTTCCCCTCTTTTTTTTAACACCATTACAGATTAAAATGAGCCACATTTGCAGTTGATGGTATCTGTTTTCAGGGGAAGAATGGAGAATTGCAGTACAGAGCGACTTCAAAAGCAGCAATAAACTCAAGGATAAATTAAGGAAATTGAATGAGCCACATTTGGAAGCAGTGTTGAGGCTAATATTCTGTCGCTTAAGGTTAAATTGCAACTGAGAGAGGTTCCAGAGAATCCGAAATCGAAGAGGCAACTTCCCAGGATGCTAGGCGTTGCGTGGCTCTCGGGGTCTTTTCTCAACGCAGATTTCATAGCAGCCGTGGGCAGTGGGCAAGGTACTCACCTGCAATCATGTGCTCTTCTCCCCCAGGGCTGACGGACGAGGAGATCGATGTGGCCTTCCAGCAGTCGGGCACAGCGGCCGACGAGCCTGCGGCCTTGGGCCCGGCCACACAGGTGGTTCCTGTCCAGCCCCCTCACCTCATGTCTCAGCCATACAGTAAGTCGCCCACTCTAGCCCCTGCTTTCACCTTGATTGGACGCAGGGCTCTGGCCGAGAGCAGTGCTCCCCTCTCCCAGACTCAGCAAGCCGGGGAGCTGGGAGGCGTAGCCGGCGGCTCCTGTGTTTTTCCCGAAGAATGTGACACACCCAAACCTTCTAGACAAACTTTGAAGTCTGTGACAAAGGTTTAAGAAGAAGAGTCGAGGGACCAGAATAAATGAGTTTATTAATGTGTTGTGTCAAGTATTATGGTTACAAGTAAGAATCTATCAAAGTGCGCATTGGCTCAGTTTCCATTTTCTTAGAGCAGTGCTTTTGCATGTTATTGTTGCTCTAAGAGGAACGAACATGAACTTTGGATTCATGAGTGCATTCTCGTTTGCTCGCTAAAATAACTTGCCTCCCAATTTTATTTTTTAAAGTTCATATTAGTAGATTTAGATTACCCCCTCCTCCCTCCCTCCCACCCT